TTGTGATTAAGGTTAGCGCGGAGGTACGTGACTAAGCAAGAGCACCCAATACGAGAGTAACACCATGCCACACTGTGTACACGATGGGATAGAAGAGCAACACGAAGCACGGAAGGATGGACGATGATGGAAGACTTAGCCGATGCAAACCACAAAGTTGTATGCGTAGCGTGGAAGACGGAAGAGCACACAGCCATGAAAAGGACAGAAGGCAAGAATATGACGGGAGCGTACGGGCCACGGAAGGGAACTACATATAAAGACACCCCAGCATGCTGAAAAGCACGGGCTACGAAAGAGCACGCACGCTCGAAGTTAAACGCCGTTACGAAAGCTTCTTCGCGTTCGTGAAGACGGTCGTTCTTCTTTGAGGCGGCAGCTAGGCGCTTCTTCACTCGGTTCCTCTCCTCGAGTACTTTTATATACTGAAGCTGCTTTGTGAGGACGGGATCTGCTTTAGCCTCGAGGGCGGAGGAGCTACTGGAAGGATGAAAGTCCTGCTGCTTGTCCCATCGCTTCCGCTCCGCCATCTTCTCGTTAGCAGATGTACAAGATCGTTTGGAGACCGACCTTTAGAGACGCTCTAATGATGCAAAGCGACCCACTATAATCATTTTCACACATTTAGAGCCGTTTCGTGGCTCCCGTTCGGACAGTCCATGCATTGCTGATCGCGGTACATGTACCGGTATTGAGACGGGAAGATTCCCTTGCCACAAACATTCGCGCATGATCTACATGCATTCCGATGGATCGATAAGAAGTCTCGCAACGGCGCCGATCGTGCAGGTGGTGCCGTGGTGACTAGAAAGCTGCCTCCCATCGACTTAACACGGACGACTCATCCTATCACGAGCGCTGGCAACGGGGAGAAGAAACCCAGAGTCGGGAACCTCACGCTGTACATGCTGCTGTCCGATATTTGATTCCGAGAAGCATCAATAAACTGTGATTCTTTTTAATTTGTTGCATAAATAACTCAACTCTGTGCTAAGAAATTATAACCAAGCCAAAATGGCTACATACACAAAAGAACTTGGCAGAACGAGATCAGCTTTGTTGTGTCATACAGCTGTTCGAGGCCCATGTTAGACTGGCGATCCCTTGTCCTGTAGTTGGCAAGCATTCAGGGTTGGTCATAATCACTTCAAGCATTTGTTGATGCGTCGATGCACTCGGGATTCTCTCTGCTTTGCTCCCTTCAAAGCAGCGGCTCGAATGGATGAGTCGTTGTTCATTTTCCAATCTGCACTGCAAGCACCCCCCCCCCCCGTTCATCTCCCCACGCAAGCTCACCGTCATTATGAGTGCACAGCCAGCTTTCAATGGACCGTGGGGCAATGGCCCCAGACCCACAAAGGAGCAGATTGACCGCTGGACGGACAAGAAGTGCGTAATTCTTTGCTCTGTGTAATGTATGACTATCTCTAACTGAGCGTCCTGACTATTCCAGCTCGGCCAAGTGCCTCGAATACGTCAAACGACACGCAGAGCGCGACGAGGAGATCCGCAAGAAAAAGCCAGTCGTGATGGCAGAACTGGGCGCTTACACTGGCTACAGTACCGTGAGGTCGTCGGCAAGGAGTCGCATTACTACTCGTTTGAATACTCGCCAGTATTTGCTGCTCGCGCTCGTGAGATGGTGGAGATTGCGGGGCTAGTGAATCAAGTGACGGTGTATGTTGGGGCATTCTCAGAGCAGTATCAAGTGCTGCGTGGCAAGATCGTCGACGTGTCTGCACCTGTCGCAGTACTTCGCTAACAGTGTTTTTTTTGTGTGTAGTTGTACTTCATCGACCACGAGAAGACGGTCTATTTGTCCGATCTAAAGCTAATTATCGGCAGTCAAACGTTGGCTCCCGGCTCTGTTATCGCTGCAGACAACGTGGTGAGACCTGGTGCGCCCGACTACCTCGAGTTTATTGAGAACAACCCTCAATTCTCGACTGAGCGTCACACGATCAACTGTGGACGTGACGGCCTATTGCTGCCAGACCTTTCCATCGCCACATTCTTAGGATAATGGTATCCACAACCTTTAGGATGTGGGTTCCAAGTACTTTTCTATTTGTTTTATAGTACTTTCATCAATGCATTTTTTTGCCATGTCATGGGATCTGGAACATAATTGATCTGTTATTTGGACCTGGTGAGCATGTACAAATACTGGTCGACGATTCTGTCGGCATTGAAGATATGCGGGGAAGCTAGCGTGTCCAGATGGACAGCGTCGAACCCGAATAGCTTTTTCGCCTTGATAAAGAACGATAAATCGTGCTCTTCGTGGCCTGGGACGTGGTGGGCAAAACTAACAAATACCTGTTAAGACACAGCAAATTTCGATCACAACAATGCGATTCAAATAGAGAAGAACATGTCGCACCTTTCCTCCAGGTGACAGACACGCGTCGATTGATTTCAGCAAGTCTTCATGCTTGGTAAGCCAACAAATAAATAAGACCATCTTCAAATTTCAAGTCAGCGCTTTACACTTACCAGGTTATGCAGCCATAGACACTCTGCAACAACTGCCACTTCAAATCGAGCTTTTGTCGAGTCGTCTGGAGTTTCAGACTCTTTTTGCTCGTCCAACACGGCAGACGGGGGAGCATCCAGACATTTCAGCAACGCAGCTGTGTCACTGCCCCAGAGATGTCCCCGTACGTCACGTCTCCCAGTCCCCAATAAATGTGCGTTACGCTTGATATTCGTTTCAATGTTTTTCAACAATAAGTCGTTTGGGTAATCTGCAAAAGACCATGAATAAATTTTAAAACACTGTAATGAATCCCCTCTTACCTGTCATAACAGCCAGCTTTGCACCGAAATGGAGTGCCACAAGCGACGGCAGCGCCCTGTAGAATAATTAACAGTGATCGTCTGTAAGTTCCCTCGAATCTTACGTTGCTTTCACTGAAAAACCCACGAAGCTGCGCCGAATTCCACGACCCTCCGACCCTCCACCAGCTCGGGATGTTTGGCGAAGTGCATGGCGATGAATCTCTGGACAGCGAAATGTAGCATTGGATTGGTAGAATAAGTTGCAATGTTGTTCTTCGCACTTGAGCTGCAGTAGAAACGCACCGCTCCGTTCCAGACAGCGCAAGCGAAGAGCGAACCGGGGATGCCACCGTCATCGTCCGCTACTGAGATGCGAAAGTGCGGCGTCGAGCTCCCCACGTCCAGCTCCTGCACAAAGTCTTCTGGGTCGTAGCCATTGTCTTCTCCGTTCTGCAAGAACAGCGTGCCAACGACGTTGTCCTCGATCTCCATCATGTGTTCTCAAATTGGATTTTAGTTTATTTGGGTTTTGGGTATATTGAGCGACCCACCTCCCATCATTTTGTACATGGGAAATATCTCACATTCAGGCGAAAAGTGGGCAGATTTGAACTCTCTCAAATGCGCTTGTTTCGCTAAGGTGTTCTAACGTGATAACAGTATAACATATAAGCATAGTGAGGTGGTTCTGACGTCTTAGGTCCCAGTAATAGTCAGGTTGTGGCTGTCAAATGCTACCGCCCAACGGTACTTTTATCGCTTTATTTCTTAAAAAGTAAAATAAATTGATTGTCGGGGTTTTGTAGACAGCTTGTCAACAACCGAACAAAAAACGAGATGTGCACGCTGCCTTCATGCATTTAGAGCGTGTGTTCGGCAGCATGTCATGCAGTGAAGAAGCTGTTTAATGTTTAGTTTGGTGCTTACGATAAAGAGGACATAAATCTGCGTCTATTAATGCAAAGATACTGAGTCTTATCTTTTCGTTTGGTCAATATTTTTCTGATATGGTAGAGCAAAATTCCTAATATATCCGCCGCAAGTTATCTAAAGAGACAAGCACGTCCTGTAGTCGTATTTTTTCGATTGCGTGTTGTATCTATTTACAATTCATGGCAAACAACCTCTGCATCAATACCCAATTTTGGGCGACCTCCGAAAATCCTGCCTGGTTTGTGGTTTGTGCACACCGATTTGTTCCGTACCATAATCAAGTCTGGTTTTAACCGTGTGTCGACTTAATGTGTTTTTTTTTTCTCTTCTTAATAAGCGCACTTACTTCATTCCGCAATTGTTCTCACCGTAATCGGTTTCAATCCCAGAAAGAATAATATGCGATGCGCATTCATCTCCATCTTCAACTTAAACCATTGTCCTGCTCGGGAAAGGCAACGCTCTTCCGGACGAGGTGGTATCCTCGGAGGGGTTTTCGTCTGTTCATCACTTTGCTGGAATCCAAAAGAGGTCGCTCCGTATTTATGAAGAAGAAAGAGGCGACAATATCTTTAGGAAGTCCGAGACGGCCAAAATGAAAACGAAATGGCTGCGCAACGTGACTGTGTATGGCGAGAATCTTGAAAAACCCGGCTTCCACACAGCTTTCGGAATGTGGAAACAATTTGGGCATCCCGAAGACAAAATCTCGCGTGCGATGAAAAAGCTTGGCAAAACTCCAAGATGGAAAAAATTAAATTTAAACTAGAGCGATCCTGTTTTACCGTGTAAACACGAAGACGGTATTAATACCTAAATGTATTAAAACAACGTTACAAGCAGCTGCAAGCACAATAACGAGTAGGGACTGGCAACACTCCGCGCATTAAAGCAACAATACACATAAACCCGCACTATCGCTAATGGTTTTGCAGCGAGGGAGAATGTGCCAGCATATGAAAGTCAAGTTAAGGGCCTGTTTGGATCCACCGCATTTTTTATCACAAACTGTTGACGGTTCGCAAACTCATCCTGCTAGCCGAAAATCGCGTTTGGCACCGCACGACAAAAATCGCAAAGGCCAAAAGATCGTGATCGCTGCCTTCTTTGCAATCCAGTGGTTGCAAACGAGCGGTGACCTTTCAGATTTTGGGATTCTCCATGAGTGAAGAAGACTCTGTCGCTCAGCTAGAAGATGCATCTGACGACGATGAAGACATCGTCCGTGTATTAGCTCTCGTCGCCGGATACAATGGGCACACCTACTTTCACAGCCAGCCGCTCCACAACTCCATCCTGACGGGATACGATTGGGTAGCAGAGCTCATTGAAAAAAAAAACCGACACGCATGTTCCGAAGCTACCGCATGACAAAGCCCGTGTTCAGACCCTTTTGCGCTGCCCTTGACAATGCGGATCGACAGACACCCTGGTCCCGTGTCAGTGTAGAGGAGAAGGCAGCTATCTTCCTTTACAGTATCGCAAAGAGCGCCTCGAACAGCGATCTTCAAGAGCGCTTTCAACATAGCGGAGAAAACTATTCATCGGTGAGTTTTCAAATTGTTGTTACGTCGTGCTTTGGCTAACTCTTTAGTGTCACTTAAGCAGGCATTTTTACCGTGTTCTTGATGTTGTCTGTAACATGGCAAGTATGTATCTCGTCCAACCAGCCACTCCGTCACAGCTGCTATAGAACGAACCAACATATGTTGGCCAGTTCGATCAATGCCGCCTTGCCTTTGGTGGCACGCACATCCCTGCCTACGTACCCAGCGAAAAAGCGAAGCCATTTCGTGATAGGACTGGTAAGCTCAGTCAGAACGTGTTTGCTGTGTTTACATTCGACATGCAGTTCGTCTACGTGCTGTCAGGTTGGGAAGGTAGATATAATATTTTCCTATCTTACACTTAACGCATGAGCTAATAAACTCTATACGGGTTCTGCAGCAGATTCGACGGTGCTTGCTGACGCAAGGCGTAAGGGATTTAAGACCCCGCCGGGCTTGTTTGACCTCGGGGATGCTGGATACGGTCTAACCACAGAGGTTATGACTCCATATCGTGGTGTTCGTTATCATTTGAAGGAGTGGGGACAAACAGAAGAAAGGTGAGTCTAATGTTTTTTTTTGAATCTGCTAAAATGCTAGCGCTAGGTTGTGCAGGCCTCATAACTATAAAGAATTGTATAATCTAAGACACGCGCAAGCTCGCAATGTCATCGAGGGGCTTTTGGCGTGTTGAAGCAGAGATTTTCTATTTTGAAGCAAGCGCCAGAATATTCGGTAGTTTCGCAGGCAAAAATTGCTCGAGCTTGCTGTGTTCTCCACAATTTTATTAGGCTTCAGGAGGATTTACCTGATGACCCAGAAGGCGAGCTGGAAGAAGAAGATTCCGACGATGAGCGTCCTGATACCTACAACCATGAGAGTAATACCACTCGAAATTCTCGGCGAGCGAGCAATCTTCGTGACCTACTAGCTAAGAACATGTGCGATTCGTATGTAGCTTTTCAGCGTTAATGAATTAACATGCAGCAATGAGTTCGTGCTCTTGGCGCCTAGCTCTTACTGAGCATTTTGAAGTTGCTTATTCAGCCATGCATCCCGGGTTGGTCCGGCCTCCATTACCAAAATTCCCTTTGCCTTTTTTCGTCCAGCATCACGTCGAAAGCTCGAACAAGATTTTCCGTTTGTAGGTCGTTGGCGTAGTCCTTCTGCAGCAACTTGATGGCACGCTGCAATGGTGACAGAGCTCGCATCTTAGTAGTTCTATGGCGCAATTTCGTAGCAACCTCACTAATTGCTTCGGCAATTAGTACACCACCGCTTTCGTTGCGTCTTTTCTTGGCACCTTTACTGCTTACTGCCTTGTGGGTAGCAGCAATTATTGGTTCTGGTGCAGGCTTCGGTTGCATGGCTGAATCTGAGCTTGTAGCGTCGTCAATAGCTACAGGCCCAGAAGATGTTGGTGCTAGCGTTAGTTGCTGAGAAGATGGGCATGTAGCAAAGTCTCCTGGGCAGGGTTCTTCGGAGGCTAATGCATACTCTCCGGTAGCATATGTTCCCTCAAAGAGGTCACGAAGGTCGTCAAACAGTGACATGGCCTTCCTGCGGTAATCAACAACTTTTGTATGGCTCTGTCCACAGTGAAACATTAGTCAAAGGCGGTTTGTCAATGGTTGTAGTGCGCAATAGTTGTACCTTGACATAATCATCCCAAACAGAGTCATGCACTAGCACGACATGACGTTCATCATCCCAGCCAAATCCCGACGCGTCCAGCATCGCCTTGATCGACGTATAGATGCCTTTCAGCTGTAGCTAAGCGAAAGTATCATATTCAGATCCTGTAAAAGAAAGCGCTGTAAACGATTTACGTACCGCTGTCAGTCTGGACTTGATCTGCTGCCTCGACATCTTCGTCCGAAACGGGTGTTGAACGCAGCTAGTGCCTCGGTCCACGCTTCCTTCTTGAAGCCGCTGTCAGCACTCTTCCCTGCTTGCGCTTGCTGCGTCATGGCATCTACCAGGGAGGCATCTTTCGCGCTGTCCCAAGACGCGCGCTCTTGGTCTTTAGACGCCATGTTTTGGCGCCCCTACGAGGGAACATTGCGATAAAAGTTTCTGGTCAGAGTAGCAAGTTTGAAATCGCGATCTTTTGTCTAAATCACGATCTTTTGTGCGGTGTATGGAAGCGCCATGTTAGTCCCAAAAATTGCAAATTACAGATGTAATTTGATTATGAAGATCGCGGTCCTATTTGGAAGCACATTTTTTTGAAAAATCACGATCACTCGAAAATCGCGATTTAGGGCCCTAAATCGTGATCTAGTTTTGGATCTAAACACCGCCTAAGATAGTGTAACATCGACGTAAAAACCATTCTCTGTCCAGCATAGTTCGATCACTTCAATATGGCACCGAACCGGACAACTGCCTCCATTCACTTTCTGTTGTTTAAAAGGTCCGGTACCCATGTCCATCTGAACTTGGATAGATTCAGTCATTGAATGATTGAGCCCCTCAATGGCCTTAGCAATCACGCTGGTCTAGTTTTCTTAAGGTTAGAACATACTGTTGTTTCAAATACTCAAAGATTGCCGCAGTAGTACTAACTGTAAATTGATCAAGACGTCGAGCTAAAGTCAACTCCTGGTTTAGCGTCCTATTGGCTCACGAGCTATTCATATCCAGAAAATGACTGGTCATATCTGCCGTGGGCTATTAAACACTTAGTATACCCGCTGAGCTACGGAATTCCATGCTAGGAACTGCGCGCAACGTGTAGTGATGTAAACACACTTGAACGTTGACCGAACGATATATGTTACCCGAACGTCGTTTTGTCATGATTCAACGTGACGTCACCAGCCTACGTCACTGGTTTGACGTTACCCACAAGCTCAACACATGTAGCCAACAGCTAGCTAAATGACATAGTGTCCAATTCATTCCGTTTTTACTTTGCCTCACCACGCGAAGAGCGACAGCTCAGATCAACGACTCTTCGATTCAAATATCACGGTAATGTGTTTATCCCCTTCAGCTGTGTACCTCTCTAAC